GGTGTTTTTTTTTTCTTGTCTATTCTTTTCCTACCTGTCATCTCTTCATTGCTTCAATCTGCTTTATCAGAGATTTCCTCAATATTATTTTCCTATATTCTACGTGGGTTTTCATATCAGCTATCATGTTTGCAGTTTCCAATAGCTCCTTTTGTTCTCTGAATTATACACATTTTCCTTCTATGATATCATATATTGTCTGTAATTCTATACTTATGTGTGTGCATGCATGTGTATGCTCCATGGATCTTCTAACACCTTCCCTTATCTCTATGAGGATAATAATAGTCATTTTTCCCCTTTTCTTCTCCCTGTGTGGTTTTTGTTTTCTCCTAGTTGCCTTTTTGTTGTTATTGCCTATTTGTTTTAGTCTCTCTCTCTGGGTGTGTGTGTCTCTGTCTCTGTCTCTCTTTCTCTCTCTTCCACATTAGGAGCTGTCCTTACATTTTTTAAAAATCCTTAGCTGACTGTCCATGATAAGGAATGGGGATTTAAGACCTGCGCACCCACATGGTGTTTGTTGATGTAGGGCCTCACCATAGAGTGATCTTGGTGGGTCCTTGTTGGGTTGCTCCTGCTGTCAACATCATGGTTCTTTCCTACTGAGATGGTCTGATTCAACTGAAATGTTTCTTCTAATCTCCTGTCTGGAGACTGAGGACCCAGCTGTTGGTGTTCTGAGAGCTGAGCAGAGAAAGAATACTGGGGTTCTCTACAGTTAGCGTTCAGGATGATCCAATCTCCTGTGTGTGTGCGTGCACATGTGTGTGTTTTGTCTTAAGATAAACTTTACACATGATGAAATCATGGATCTTAAACATACAATGGAATGACTTTTCACAAATATATACACCCCCTAACCAATATTTCAATCAAAATATCAAACATTTTCTTCACTCCAGAAGTTCTCTCATGCTTCCTTCCAGTTAATCACCAACTCCTCCCCGCTCCCCCGGCCACCCCACCATAGGCAACTAATGTTCTGATACCTAGTGTCAGAGATTATTTTTGCCTGATCTTGAACTTCAGAAAATGCAGTTCTATACACTGTTCTCTTTTGGTTTTGGTTTACTGAACTCCTCATAGTGATAAGACTTGTCCACATTGTGTTGCAGCAGGTCATTTTTTGTTGGGTTTTTTTTCTTTTTGCTGAGTAGCATTCCTTTGTATACATATACCAGAATTTGTTACCCATTTTCCAGTTGTTGGGCCCTTGAGTTGTTTAAAATCTGTGTCTATTATGAATAAAGCTGCCAGAACATTCTTGTTCAGTCTTTTTATAGATACATGTTTTAATTTATCTTGGGCAACCTAGGAGTGGAATCGCTGGGTTTGAAAGAGGATGTCCACCACCTCCATTCTGACCTTAGTCCGTACTTTCTAAGTGATACCTTCTTCTTTCCAGTTCATCTCTTAATTCAGGCAAAAGACTGGGGAGTGGATGGGGAGGGGGGGAAGCATCTGTGATGGGAATTTAAACTAGCCCTCAAGCAATAGCAGCTGCCCTGAGCAAGCAAGAACCCCCCCCCCACCATTGGCCCCAAGACAATGATCACCCTGACTTTCACTGCCCCCCTGCCCGGACCCGCCAGCCTTGGTCCCACGTTTTCTTCATATAAACCTGGACATATTTTCCACCCTTTGGAGATAGTCTGAGATGTTAGTCCACTATCTTCCAGGTGTCAGCCTCACTGAAATAAATCCCTTTCCTGTTTCACCACCGCTCATCTCTCTGCCTGTGGATTTTGTCAGCGACGAGTGGCCAAACCTGGTCTGTTTGGGATCCCCAGAGCCAGATGCTCATGAACCCCTGCGCCCCGGCTACAGGTTCATAGGATTGAACCCATTGGATCGGGTCATAGAATAGGTGTTTCTTGAATTGTGTAAGAAACTGACAAAGGATCTCGCCAAGTGGTTGAGCATTTTACACTCCCACCAGCAAAGTGGGAGAGTTTTAGTGGCTTTATATTTTTCCCAACATATGACATTGTGAACCTAATTAATTTTGGCTATTCTATTGGGCATGAGGTAATGTGCTGAATATTGATGATCATGGTGGACATTCCTGCGTTCTTTCAAGCGCTCAACATTTCCCCATTAAGTACAATGTAAGTTGGACATTTTGTGTAGATGCCCTTTATTCAATTGAGAAAGTCCCCTTCTAGTGCTAGCTGGCTGAATCATTTTTATCACAAATGGGTGTTGGATTTGTCGAGCGCTTCAACTACACTTATTTGTGAATGATATGTGTTGTTCTTTCTCTTTTATTCTATTAATAAAGAGAATTACATAAATCCATTTCCAAATATGAAGCCAACCTTATTTATATATTGCGGAATTCTACTTGCTAATATTTTGTTACGGGTTTTTCTGTCTGTGTTTGATGAGGGAGCAGAATGCTAGCTGAGGACAAAGCATATGCTGACACCCTGCAGCCTCCCCCAACACCCCACTCCAGGGTGGGACATGTGTGATATTCTTCCAGGAAGCTCCCAGCTGTCTTTTTTTGTTTGTTTGTTTTTTAAAGATTTTATTTATTTATTTGACAGAGAGAGACACAGCGAGGGAGGGAACACAAGCGGAAGGCAGACACTCAACAACTGAGCCACCCAGGCACCCAGCTCCCAACTATCTTAATGTTATTGCTTTATTAGAGGGAAAAAAACAACCTTAACTTGACAATGGCAAGGCCTCCAGTGTCCTGTGAGTCTTTAACATCTGAAAATCCTTTTGAAAACCTCCCTTTCCCTTACCTCCCAAGTATATAATCAGCTACCCCTCACAAGGCCTCACAAGGCCAGGGCAGCTGCTCTCTCTGCCCAGGGGTCTTGTCCCCATGCTTTAATAAAACCACCATTTTGTACCAAAGACATCTCAAGAATTCTTTCCTGGTCATTGGCTCTAGACCCCACCCCACCGAACCTCCCCTATAGTCCAAAACCACATCAATGTGATTGCTTCTAGGCAATAGAACATGAGCAAAAGTGATAGGCCCGGCTCTCCAACCACCTCCCCTGTGAGATCCTCATGCTCTCTCCCCTTGTGCCAGTGGGAAGCAATCTTAGAAACCCTGTGTTGAAGATGGGGCAGCCCAGGTCCCTGTATCACAACCCAGAGGACAACTGCCTGTTGATCAGTCTTGAACAGGGAAAAGGATAAACATTGATCCTCTTGGGGTCTTTATGCATGTATTAGGTAACTAATAAACAGGATACGTGTGTTAAATGATGTAGGAAAGATGTTAGAGAGTTCGAAGCCAATGGCCGAGAAAGAATTCTTGAGACATCTTTGGTGCAAAATGGTGGTTTTATTAAAATTAAATTAATTTATTAAAAGTATTATAATATTACATATTTTACATTTATTTATCATTTTCCTGAGGGCAGGAAAGGCTGCCGGGGTGGGGGGGCGGGCGGGGGTCATGAGGAGTGGCCCATTAAGTTGGGAGAGGATTAGGGATAGTGTTAAGTCTCTAAGGAATTTTGGAAGCAAGGTTTCCAGGACCTTGAGGGGCCTCGCTATTGTTGGGAAAAAGTCACTGATCACCGTCAAATAAAAGCTTAGTCATGAGACCCTTCAGATGTGTATCAGTGGGTCATACGCTCGGGGAATGATTGCCAACACATATCTAGGAGATAGAGATAAAGAAAGTTTCCAAAGGAATTTTTATATGTTAAAAGTAGACTCACAGGATCCTGGGGGTCAGCCTAAGATTGCCTCTTGCCCTAGCAAAGCATCAACATCCAGGCAGCTGAGCCCTCGAGGAATGTCACTCTGCCTGTTTCAAGGACTCGTCAGCCGGTTCTAGGTAGTAAGGAAATTGCGTTTTTCTTTTGCCTTTGTTCCCCACTTCATTAAATGCTAACAGCCGGGCCCCTGGGACCTGTGCTCTAGACAGACTGGAGGACTGAAGTTAACCCTTGCCTGAAAACAACTAGACAAGCGGACAGAGCACATGAAACAATGGCTCTCAAGACCCCGGGCTCAGGCAGGAAGGAGGGCAAAGCCCTCCTCCTTTCCAGGTACTTGAAATCCTCTGGACAACATAGGGCACAGTCGTAAAGTAAGTACTGCTTCCTCCCAAGAGGCCCAGGTTTCCTCCACCCCCTCCCTCCCTTTGTCCCTCCATCCCAACGCCCCCTCTTCCAGGCACAACCCGCCACCCCGGAGGCAGGCCTTTCAGGTCACCCTTACCAGGTGGGTTCACCCTGTCTCTTCCCCCTGCCCCCAAACCCCTGGCTGGTGCCCCGACTGGACCATCTACCTCAAGCCGCCTGAGGGCAGCGATCCATCAGCAGCTCGCTCCGGGGCGTGGCCCAACCCCAACACGGGGGCCCCCTCGGTTGAATTTCGGGGATTTACTAAAATCTAGGACGGTGGGAATGAGGCAAGGACACAGGACCTCTAACACAAAGACAGCGCAAGGAGAGTAAGTGTGGGGGACGCAGTTCAGAGACACCGCTGGGCGCAGCCCACGCACCCCCCACCCCGCTCCCCAGTCCCGGGGAAAGCTGCCGTGGGGCGGCAGTGAGAAGGCCCCGACTCCCGGGACCGCCCGGGACGCAGCCTGTCCTCCTCCGTCAAGGGACGGAGTGCCCACAGCAGGGGCCACCCGCCCGCAGCCCACAGGGACAAGGAAGGCTCCCTGTCACCGCCGCTGACACAGGAAACGGCCAAGGTTTCGGCCGGACCCTCCCGATTCCCGAACTGCGTACTCTTCCCACCGGGCAGAGGGAGGGGGACGTCGGGCCGTCCGGACTCCGGAGTCCCGGTGGGGCCCTCCCCCGACCTCGCAATCCCAGAGCGGGCGGCCCCGGCGCAGCCGGCCCACCCGGAGGCGCCGGCATCTCGAGGCCGCGGCGTGGTTGCCTAGGAAACGCTCACGTGCCTCCTCGGGGCTTGGCGGGCCTCGTAGTCCGCTGGCGGCCTCGCCTGGGCAGCCCGCTCGGGGAGGGACCACAACTCCCAGCAGGCCGCGCGGCGGGGCGGGGCCGGGGGCGGGGCCTCTTCGGCCCGAGGCGCGGGGTCTCGGCGGTGGGAGGAGGAAGATGGCGTCGCCGAGGCTGGGAGCGGGGTCGCGCGGGCTCCCGCAGCCGCAGCTCCTGGTGCTGCTGCCGCTGCTGCTGCTCGGACCCTGGCCGGCGGCGGGCCACGGCGGCAAGTACTCGCGGGAGAAGAACGAGCCCGAGCTGCCGCCGAAGCGCGAGCCCGGCGGGGAGTTCCGCATGGAGAAGCTCAACCAGCTATGGGAGAAGGCCCAGCGGGTGAGCGGCTGCCAGGGCCTCCTGTGACCGCGGGGCGGGGGGGGGCATCCCCTGTCTCCTGGGGCCGCGGGGCTCCGGGGCGTCCTCTGTCTTCTGTGACCTCGGGGACCGTGGGGTCCCGGGGCGTCCCTTGTCTCCTGTGACCCGGGGGGGAGGGGCCGCGGGGCCGCGCGTCTTGTATCTCCAGGGTGAAGGGGCCTGGGTCTTCTGTCTCGGGGTCACAGCCCAGGCTGGTGCTGTGATCCCTGCCTTGGTATGCAGATGCCACGGTTAGGGTCGGGGGTCCTTCCGGTCTTAGGGACCCGACCCGGGGTCCTGGGAGCTGCCGCTGCATTATGCCCCTTGGTGGCCTGACTTTGTGTGAGATTATCCGGTTGCTGTTTGGTAGAAGTGGTTAGGAGAGCTGTAGGCTGGGGACGGCAGCCGGGGCTACTTCTGCCTGGTCCTGTGGGTCTTGTGACATCTTGCAGTGTCGTAAGACTGCCGAGCAGGGGACGGGGCGGGGGAGGGGCGGAGGGGACGCAAGGGCTGCCCTTAGAGCTTTGGGGACTGAGTGAAGCCGTCGCAGGACTTCTCAGTGGGTGCGCGCTGATCGCCTCTGGCCGCTGTTGCCCTGCTCAGGGTTGCCTTGTGTTCTGGTGTCCGGTGGGGGACGCAGGCCGGGGCTGGGGGACACATCCTGAGCAGGCTCGCCGCGCCGGTGCACAGCTCTCACACGCCCGGTTCTGTGGGCCCCAAGCCCCTGTCGGTTCTTACCCTGACCTTGTGATTAGAATGTGTTGCAGTGTTGTCCTTGGACGTGGGAGGGCCAGAAGAGGAGGGGAGATGGTGTTTCCTGTGTTCTCTGTCCACCGCATTCCTCTGCTCCAGGTGGGACTTGGGAAGGGCAGGTCGGGGCCCCTGTCCTGTTCTGTCCTTGGCGCTGCTTCACCGTGTGCCAGTAAGACTGCTCCCATGTAGATGGCTCAGCCTCACGGTCTCCCAGGGGCTCTCTAGTGTCCACATGGGGGCAGGCCTCCCCGAACTGTGCCCTGCACACAGTCACTCTGCCCAGTGCAGAATCGCGGCTGGAGGCAGAGGCTTTGGACCCTGGTTCCCAGGGACTGTTTTACCACTTTACTGAGATACGATTGACATAGAAAAACTGTACATATTTAATACATTCATCTTGGTGAGTTTGAAATGAAGCATCCACCTGTGAAACCATCCATACCCAGTGTGCTGTCAACATAGCCCTTGTTTCTGATACGCGGTTTCTTCCTGCGTGTTTGCTTGTGTCCATTATTGATGATTTACCTGACTGTTTAATACTGAACAGATTCTGTTCTGTGTTTGATTTCTACTAACTAGTTCTTTTCGTGTGAGGCATTAACGTTTAACTTGAAGTTAAAGAGAGTGAAGAAATCCAGAGAGGGAGTGCCAAGTGTTTGCCCGGGAGCTGTGTCTTTGCCTCCTTTTCGATGGCACACGACGGCTGCTGTGTCCGGCCGCCACAGGTGGCTGGCATCCCCCGCGCTGGACTCACCGGCCTCTGCATTTCAGAGGAAGGACTGATTTTTGTGCAATGCAGCGTGTAATTCAGACGCCCAGGGGCTTCAGACCTGAGAAGCAGTGACTCACAGGGGCTGCAACGGTAACAGGTGGGCACCAGAGTCTGCAGCTCATGGGCTCCTGGCTGGACGCTGGCACGTTGACTACCCCCAGGGCCCTGGGGAAGTGGACAGATAAGAAAGTAAGAGGTGAGTGGGGACCTTTGTGAGGTCCTCAGATCTGTCCCCCGATGGTAGAACTAGCTGGCAGTCAGAGAACACTTAGGTCCTCTCCCCCATGCGGTCCCCAAGAGGGAACCGGGAGCCGATGCAGTGTCACACTAACCACAGAGGGCAGAGCTGCGAGCTGGGCCCTCCCTGTCCTTGGCTGTGGCTCTTGATGCAGACAGGCCGCAAGCTTACAGAGGAGAGACCCTGTGGATGCCTGGGCTTAAGTGTTGTGTCCCTGGCATCCTGGGTGGACTGCCGGTCTGCCCTTCCCAACTCCTCATCACCCAGTGCCCTATCTGCCCTTCCTGGGAAATCAGCATGCCCCAAACCACTGTCCAGCTCCTCCGCCCTGGGGAGTCCACAGGTCAGGTGAGGCTGCAGCCCCAGCCTCCCCAGAGTCCTGGTAATGCCCACAGGGGGCCTCCAGGTGACAGTGGGGCCTAGAATGGAGCTTAGGAGAGCAGGTGGGACTATGTCAGCCTGGGTGCCATTGAGGAGCCTAAGGCGTCCAGGTGGGGGCATGCAAGAGGCTTTGAAAGGAAGGATTTGGGGCTCGAGAGAGGTAGTAGGAGCTGGGGTACTGTGGAGACAAGCGCCTGCCCCAGGAGAGCCAGAGAGCCAGCAAGGGAGGGGCAGACCCATGGAGCAGGATCGAAGAAGCTTCTAGAGAATTAAAACAGTTTCCTGCCCTAGGCCCTGCCACTCATTTGGTGCTATGTTTTTACTCCTGAGGAACTTTCCCTGACTAGTTTTCAAGCTGGTAAAGGATGGGGCCCAGATTTCCTGGGCATCTCCTGAGAGGCCCAGCCGAAGCTGGTCAGGGTCACCACGATGACCCTTTTAGCCTAAAAAGCACATTGGCTGCAGTCTCCCCACCCTGCGTGGTTGGCAGGGGGCTGCTCAATCTTGTAGCTTGTTCAGCAGCCCACCACAGTATTGCTGGGCGCCCGGGGAGCCCCGGCAGGTGCAGCCACATGAAGACTGGTGGAATGTTCTGGTCCAGGGGACCAGCTTGAAGCACATTTGTCCCGTTGGTCTGGGCTCAGCTGACACCAGTCAGTGGGAAAGGCAGGAGCAGGGACCCAGTCTCCTCTCGGCCTCCCTGGGCCTCGGGCTGGCTCCCAGAGCCTTGGGCCACCTACCACAGGCGCAGGTCTCATTCTGGCCTGAAGCTGAGGCCCCTCCCCACCTCTTCGTGGGCTGGGTCAGGGGGCAGAGACACCGCACTTAGAGCCTCTTGTCATTGTGTCATTAGCGAGTCCCTTGCCAATGAGGGCATTGTCAGGCAGGTTCACTGGTTTGATCTTTTCTTAACGTGGAAGTTTGTCATAATGTAGTCCGCCATCCTCTAATCATCGTGGTTTATTTTTTACCATACTTACATGATACAAGGAAAAAGTAATGGATTCCTCCCATGCTCAGCGCTCGTATCCCTCCGTCATCACACCCCGATACCCGGGGCCCCACGAATGTCCCTGGGGCGTCTTGGTGCAGCAGCCGGCCCTGTGGCCACAGGTGGCCTCAGTGAGAGGACCTGGCAGCCCGTGCTCAGGCCGCTGCTGGCTGGCAGCTCCTCACGGACGTGGCATTTCTAGATCATGCCCTGCCGTGGACCTCTTAGAGCGAGGCTGGAGAGCAGGCTCCCCGTAACCCTGCAGTGTGGCAGTCCCCTGAGGGTCTTGCCCGGGAACACGTGTGGGATTTTGCCTGGCCAGGACCCTGCGTCCCCCTGCCCACCTGTGGTATCTCCTGGTCGCCCCTCTCGGGGTTGCCGTCTCCTGGCGATGCTGTTGGTTTGTCTTGGGGCTGGTTGTCAGCCTCCTCTGCTCTCGTTCCGTAGCTGCAGCTTTCTCCCGTGAAACTGTCCGAGCTCCATGCGGATCTGAAGATGCAGGAAAGGGATGAATTCGCCTGGAAGAAGCTGAAGGCCGAGGGTCTCGACGAAGATGGAGAGAAGCAGGCCAAAGTCACGCGCAGCCTCAGTGGTATCTTTTTCTATTGAGCGCGGAGGGGGGCCGCGGTGGGGAGCGGGAGGGGAGCGGGGCTGCCCTGCTGCAGCCTGTGCGGTGGCTCACCTCCGAGGAGCGACCAGCCGCAGCCACGGCTGCTGGGCTGTTTTGCGAGGCTCTTGGCCGACTATGGGGAGAGTCAGGACGGGTGCTGGGTGCAGTAACGCACAGCAGCTGAGGGCCCTGCGGTGACTTGGCCCAGGAGGGAGGCCGGGGCCACCCCGTCTCCCGAGGGCACCTGGAAGAGACCCTAGGGATGTTCCCAGGGTCAGGAAGTTATAGGGAAGCGGATTTCAGATCATCTGTAATGGAAATAACTTTCTAACAGAGTGAAATGTGGTGAGATGGGAAGTAGTGAGCTACTTGTTATTGTGGGTATTCAAGACAGAGCACCTGTCTGCCCGGCTGCCCATTATGCAAAACACATGCGTCCTTAGGATGGGGTCTTCGGGCGCCCCTTTTCCACCACCCTCCTGTGGCACGCGTCAGGCACGGGGAAGGACTCCGAGCTCACTGCCCGGGCACCCCCGTGCACTCCACCTCAGCTGCGTCTTGGGGGGCCGCTCCCGCGTGGACGGGTCTTGCTGTCATCCTGTAGTGAAGAGTGGAGAGTAGAAGTCACGTCCCCATCCCACCTGCTGGCGCCCTGGCCTGCCACCTGCCCCGGCACGTGGGCACATCCTCGCCAATATGAGCCTGCTGTAGCTCCCCACAGAGCCCAGCATCGGGTCTTGAGTAGCCACGGCTCAGTGGCCACAGGTGTGGCTGGACCCAGAGTCCGCCCTGCAGCCCAGCCACCGTCCCACATGCTCATGGGGCCAGACACCGGCTGCCTCGAACATGGCACCCCGTGGAGTGCACGTTGTCTGTGGTCACGGGAGTCCCTTCCTGAGACGAAATGCTGTACGTCCACTCAGGCCTCTTTGAGGCACTTGTCCCTAGTCACAGACAGGTGACAGAGGATCAGAGAGGGTGAGTGGCTTGTCCATAGTCACCACTTGAGCACAGCAGGGTTTGAATCCAGGCTTTTCTGACTCAGCTGGTGACGTCTCCCCAGCTCCCCTGCATCCCTTACCTGCAGACCTCATGAGACACCTACGTGTTGTTCAGGTCACATTGTGTATCTGCTTCTGGGGTGAGGACATAGGTCTACTGCTGTTTCATATGGCCTCATTCTAGAATATGACGAGACACATGCAGAACAGGACGAGATAGCGGAAGGGTCAGGTGGACAGAGATGCGGGACCATCGCACCCAGCTGGAATGTTTGGGGGCCACTCCAAAGGGCCAGGACAGGAGCCTGACCTAGAGTTACCCCCGAGAAAAGAAGGCTCTGGAGGGACCCAGAATCCTTTGTATGTCCTTCTTTCTGGAAGGAACCGGCCCCCAGTGGATGGCGCGGGGCCAAGACTGGGGAGCGTGAGGGCATAGAGAGGTCAGCCAGCTCTCGTCTCCCTCCTGGGGCACACTCTCCCTGAACTCCCACTGCCAGCCCATATGCCCCTGGGCATGGCTTCCGGCCCAGTGTAGGAGTCCGGGTTCCGAGTGGAGCCATCTGTGTTCTGCTTGGGTGGCGTGGGCTTCCTGGGCGCCAGGGTGACACGGCAGAAGACTCCAGAGACTGGGAACTGGAGCGCCACGGCAGACCCTCTTGAGCATTTGTCCCTCACCGGGCAGCTGGCTGTCTCCTGGATGTGGCCTGTGCGCCCCCACACCCCTCAGCCCCCTCCCACCCCAGGACCATTGACAAGGCTGAGCCACACCGAGGGGACCACAACGTGTGGGGTCAGACCAGGATGGAGACATGAAAGGGAGGACCCAGGTGTAACTAGGTCTGTCCTAGGCTCGGCGGCAGGGCGGTCCCCCGGCTGTGCACCAGCACCGTGGGAGACAAACCACATCGGGTCCTCCTTGTCCGGGCCAGTTTTGATGCAGAAGCCTCTGTCTCAGGATGCGTCTGCTCTGCTGCCCAGGCCGGTCGCCCTCACCCTGTCCACCATGGTGTCCCCCAAGTGCACACCCAGGAAGTGTCGGGCCCAGTGTCCTCAGCGAGACTAGAAGAGGCTGGGCTTGCAGCTCTGTGGGGCGTCTTCTAGCTGGAGTGTTTGTTTCTGGCTCCAGTTCATGCTGAACCCAGACGCCTGGAATCCAGAGCCTTCTGCCTTCCAGGCTGGTGAACGCACCCTGAGACGGGTGTGACGTGCCCTCTGAGGGCGTCCGGTGCAGCCGCAGACTTGGAAGGCTGGGGCCAGGCAAAGCCTGATGAGCTAGTTATCTCTCCACCCCTCTTGCTGCTCCTCCCCGGGCTCATACCCCCGCCCCCGGACTGGGACTGTTTGTGTGTCTGGAGTGCAGAGCCTGGGGGTCCCAGCAGGCATTGGCCGGGACTGGAGTAACACCTCCTGTGTCCCTCCTAGTGATCCTGGCCAAGTACGGCCTGGACGGGAGGAAGGACGCCCGGGCCGTGAGCAGCAACTCTCTCAGTGACCCCATCGAGGAGGACAGCCTGGAGGACCCCAGGCTGGAAAAACTGTGGCACAAGGTACTCCCCAGTGCTTCCCTTGAGCCCCAAAATGTGCCCCCTAGCGTTGAGAGTTCAGGGGGGCTGCTAGGGGCTGCTTCTGCGTAGGAGCCTATTTCCAGAGGGTCTCGGGGGGCAAAGCTTTCCTCTTGGAACCACGAGGCTGTTTTTCTGTGGTCGTGGTCCCTCCCATGAGGCTTCCCTGCCTTCCCTGCTTTCTCTGCCCTCTCGGAGAAGGAATTCTGTGTGGCGTGGAGCGCTTAGAGCTCCGAATGACCAGAATGGGCGGGACGATCTGTAAACAGCCAGGCTAGTGGTGGCCCGTGTGTTGTACGGTGTCCGCTTAGTTTTGGGTCAGAGCCTGTGTGCTGTCTGGTTCAGAAAGGTGTGCTCAAGAGTGCAGGGTGGGTGTGTGGGGGCTGGGCTCACAGCATCTCATCTCCTGTGCGGTGCAAACCTCAGGTGGGTGCAGGCAGGCTGTGGGACCAGGTGGTGGCTTGAGCTGGCGGCAGCGTCACTCACTCCACAGCCCGTAATCCCCCGGAACCACACTGAGTGGGGCCGAGAACCAGAAATGTCGCACCAGCCCATGGTCCTTCGTGCAAGGGGTGGGGCTGGAGCAGGAGGGAGGGCGGGTCCACTGTGGAGGGGACCTGTGGCCAACAGACTGAGCCCCGGACCTGCGTTCTTTGTGAGTCAGCACATGGCCCCGCAGGGCAGGTGGATGACCACGTGGTGACTGGCTTGAGGTCCCTCCGGGGAGGGGACACTGCCCCGCCCAGTTGGGGGGGATCGTGCTGTTCCCACACTTTGATGGCTGTCACCTCTCCGTGGAGCCTGGCCGCAGGTCCTGCTACGGCCCCTAGTTAAAGGGTCATCAAGACGACAGTGCACTGAGCGTTTCCTGCAGGAGCGAGGGTCCCGCCTGATCTGAGGGGGTGCTCAGCAGCGGCTCCCGTGGGGTTGCGGCAAGTGGCCTGGAGGGGGTCACCCTGGGGTGTGGGCAGGCTCGCAGTGTGTTCCCTCCTCCCAGGCGAAGACCTCGGGCAAGTTCTCCAGCGAGGAGCTGGACAGACTGCGGCGAGAGTTTCAGCACCACAAGGAGAAAGTACGCGCGTACAGCGTCCTGCTGGAGACACTGAGCAGGACCGAAGGTGCCCCCGGCCCGCCCTCCTGCAGGTGGCCCAGGGGTGGGGGGCTGCCTCCCCCCGTGTCCACCCAGTTTCTGATTGGGACTCCCCTGTGGGGGGGCTCATCGGGGCGCCTCTGTCAACACGAGCGTGCTGGTCAGATGCTGTGACGGACACGGGTGCCACCCCAACCCGTGGTCTTGCCCTCAGGAAGTCAGCAAACCGGGAGGTGGGGTGGAGGGTCACCGGGGTCGGCCCGGGGCGTTTCCGCTCCAGCAGGGGGGTCTCTGGCGGCAGCTCACGGCGCCTGTTTGGCACAGAAATCCAGGAGAACGTCATCAGCCCCTTTGATGTGAGCCGCGTCAAGGAGGACGTGCTGCACAGCAAGCATGCAGAGCTCAAGGACCGGCTGCGGGGCATCAACCAGGGCTATGACCGCCTGCGCCAAGTCAGCCACCAGGGCTATGGCGCCGAGGCCGGTGAGCACCCTGCGTTCAGGCATCACAGCTGTGTGTCCCACGCCACCCCGTGGTGAGGTCCAGGCCCCCCGTGGCGGGCCGCTGTCTGCTCCGCTCCCCCCCCCCCGGGCCCCGTGCTAGAGCCCGTGTTCAGGAGCTCTCTCTGCCAGGCTGCCCTCTCTCTCTGGCTTCTTACCCACTCACCTGTTCTTATGAGCTTACGGAGCATGGATGCGGCAGATGCTTCTGTGCCTGGGGATGCGGCAGGTCAGGAGACACGGTGCTGCGGCTGCCCGCTGCGCTGCTGCCCCTCCCCAGCCGAACCACCCCCTTCCAGGAGCCACACCCAGCCAGCTCCTCAGTTTCTCCCGTGGTCTGCCGAGTCCTTCCGGAACACTCTCCACGAGCCCCTGGAGGGCCCTGGGCGGGAAAGGCTAAGCTGAGAGAGGAGGTGTTGGAGCTGGGAGCTAGCGGCATGCCCATGGGTGGGCAGCTCCGACCAGCTTGCTCCCACTCTCCTGCAGGGACGGAGAGGTGGGTGGCCCAGGTGGGCACCCGTCACCGCGTCCACTCGGGAGTGCTGGCTCAGGTCAAGGGGTCCTTTCTGTGTGGTTGGTTTTGCTCTGGAGCCATAAGGACGGGCAGTGGCCTAAGCTTAGCCCAGAACTGTGGTAGATTGGCGGTCCTGGCCCAGAGCCCCCAAGGAACCCTGCCGTCCCCTGACTCCCACCACCCGTCCCCCACCGAGGTGGCCCTGCAGTGGGCCCCTCCCTCTCAGAGGTGCGGGCCAATGTTGGCGGGTACCGTGGGCCGGTGAGCGTGTCGCCGAGGCCAGGTTCAGCGGTGCCCTGAGCCACAGACTGAACGTGCGCGAGAACAACACTCGGTTTGCTTCCGACACCCAGACGCGTGCGGGCGAGCGCACAGCACATCCCCGTGTGTGTGTCCGGACGCTCACACTCTCGGTGTCGGCAGGGCCCCTGGGCTTCATGGGATGCCGCCACACAGTCACCGGCACTGCTTTTGCTTTTCTGCCAGAGTTCGAGGAACCCCGAGTGATCGATCTGTGGGACTTGGCCAAGTCGTCCAACTTCACTGAGAAGGAGCTGGAGTCCTTCCGGGTAAGGAGGGTGCTGGGTGACGCCGGCTCACGTTATTTGGCAACATCTCTTCTGTTGAACTTCGTACTAATGTGGGAAAGACTCTGAACCGCAGTGTGAGTGGCAGATCAGCGTGTTCACGGGCCTTTTTCCTTGCTCCCTACATCCCTCTGCCGTGCTGGTCGGTGGCCGTGGGGGACTGCCGTGCTCGCGTCTCTGTGGACGGGGCTGGCCTCCGGTGAAGGGAGGGTCTGGCTCCAGGGGCGTCTGCTCAGCTTCGGATGTGCGGGGTGTGAGGACGGAGGGCCGGTGCAGAAGCACGCGGGTCGAGAACAGCAGACCCCGCGTGGGGCTCTGGCAGCAGGCCTGGAGGGAAGGGCCTTTGAGTTGCCAGAGTGTTGCCTCATGGGGGTCGTGCTGTAACCAGGCTGCTGCAGGCCAGTGGGTCAGGGATCAGAAGGGTGTGGGCGGATGGCTGCCATCGGCTAAGACAGGAGCCCGGCATGGGGGCTCCAGCTGGGGCCTGTGGAGCGAGAGGTCATTCTGGCACGTGGGTCCCAGACGCCACCGCGGAGCTCACGCGCCGTGTTTGGGCCCACGGTCACGGGGGCAGGGAGGGTGGAAAGGGGGACAGCCCGTGTGGTGGAGGGACGGGGCCTCTGAGGAGTCACCGGCAGGCGGGAGAAGCGGGGCCGTAGGGCAGGAGACAGCGGCAGGTATGACAGAAGGCCGTGGGGGGACAGGGGAGAGGGCGGTGCAGTGCGGCTGCGGCTGAGGCCCCAGCCCAGGTGTCAGGCTGGATGTGGGCTCCGGGGGAAGGGAAGCGGGCTCACCGAGGGCGGGGGAGGGGCAGGCCGGGTGCCAGGCGTGGAGCCGTCCTGTTGTGGCGGAATCTCTGGCGGGGAGGGGTGCGCTCCTTCCACTGCGCTGCTGCACGATCGGGGGCAGCAGGGATGGCGCCCTGGAGCTGTCCTGGACGGGTCGCACGGTGAGGGGCTCGGGGTGTGCGCCCTCAGAGGAGGTAGCGCCCTGCCTCCGCGTTGAGCCCTGTCGCCCAGCCCCAGGTGTGCGGTGGCCACCCGTGTCCTGAGGGGGTGGGGAGGTTTGCTGGGGACCCCAGAGTGGCACAAAGAGTCCGTTGGGGGACGTTCAGTTGTTGAAACATTATTCTAGGAGGAGCTTAAGCACTTTGAAGCCAAAATTGAAAAACACAACCACTACCAGAAGCAGCTGGAAATCTCTCACCAGAAACTGAAACATGTGGAGAGCTTCGGGGACCGAGAGCACGTGAGCCGGAACAAGGAGAAGTACGCCGTGCTGGAGGAGAAGACCAAGGAGCTGGGCTACAAGGTGCGCGCGGCCCCGCGATGTCCCCCGGCCCCGCGTGTGCGCCGGTCCCTCCTCTGCGGACGGCAGGTGGCGCCTGGTCCGCTCCCACGGGGGCTGGGCCATCCCCCCCGGGCCTGTTTAGAGCTGTGGGACCTATGCCCCCAGCATGTGCCCTCAGCCCAGTGGCCCTGCACCGGGTGTGCACGTGAGGCAGTGGCTGTGGCATGTCCGCGTGCGCACAGGAGGACGGTCCCGAGAATCCCGTGTGGTGTGCGTGGAGGCCACGTTTCCCCTCGTGGGAATGCAGACCGTCCCAGAGCGGCGGCAGGGGGCTGAGCAGAATGGGGTCACTCCGGGGCTGGTCAGGTCGTTCGCGGTGACCCACAAATCAGGTGCCCATACAGGCACAGAAGTCGGGCTCTTCATGCAGAGGAGGTTCGGGGTCGGACCATGCTGGGGGAAAGAAGCGGTGGAGCAGCATGGACGCTGTGAGGGGCTGGTGGTAGGGGCGGAAGGACACACAGAACAATCTGGAAACAGATGAGATGGGTCGTCTCTAGAGGGAGCAAGGGAGGAGGGACCCTCTTGTGTGTCTGATTCTGGAGCCACAGGGATGGGCTAGCCATTCAAACACATAAATCTAAAGTGACACGAGGCCGAAGTGCCTCAGAGGAGGGGTGTGTGGGTCCGTGCCTGTCTAGCCAGCCTGTCGGGGGGAAGGCAAGCACCCCGCGCGGGAGGTCAGCTCCAGAGTGGCGCTGCGGGGTGGGAACTTGCAGAGGGGAGTCCGGCTGTGCCGGAGAAGGGGCGGGCGCGGGGTGCTCTCTGCCTCACTGCTGTGGCGGAAGCGCGTGTGGAGCGGACGCTGGGCTCCGGCGGCGGCGGCGGGGGCCAGCCAGGCAGCATCTCTGTCCCCCGCCTTTGCGGAAACGGCCCTGTGTCCTCTGCCCCGCGCAGCTGGTTTTTAGCAGGCGCTGATGTTCTCGTTGGTGCGGAGCTACTTGTGTGGTTGATTCCTGACTCTTCCCTGGCGGCAGACATGCTAATGAGAAAAGCGAGGAGCTCAGGAGTCCTCCTCCTAAGACCGCGCGTGTCGTGATGTTGGGCAGGTGGCGGCTGGGTTGACACTGTGCCCTGTTTTCAGGTGAAGAAGCACTTACAGGATCTGTCGGGCCGCATCTCCAGAGCTCGCCACAACGAGCTCTGAGGCCGCAGGAGCCCGCCGGAAAAAGCAAGAAGAAGCCGGGCGCCAGTGGCCTGCCTCAGCACGGGCCCGGGGGCTTGGGGCAGCGCTGGGCATGAACAGGGCCTTGGGGGAGGCGTGGCGGGGACCAGCCGGGCACCCTGCATGCGGAAGAGCTGCTCCGATCCCCCGGGCGCCCGATGAGCAGTGCCTCAGACTCGCGTGAATCTGCCGCTGCGATACTGTGTCTTCTAAAAACACGTCATACGGTCGGGGCACCTGGGTGGCTCAGTTGGTTAGGCGACTGCCTTCGGCTCGGGTCATGATCCTGGAGTCCCGGGATCGAGTCCCGCATCGGGCTCCCTGCTCGGCGGGGAGTCTGCTTCTGCCTCTGACCCTCTTCCCTCGCGTGCTCTCTATCTCTCATTCTCTTTCTCTCTTAAATAAATAAAATCTTTAAAAAATAAATAAATAAATAAATAAATAAAAAATAAAAATAAAAACACGTCATACGGTCTAAATCGTCAGTGATCTGACCTGTCACTCGGTGGTCTCTCTGCGTCTGCATCTTGCTCCTCTTCCACCCCCGCACCCCACTCCCTGTGTTCTCTGCTGCGTGACACGGGGGGGGGGGGCGGGGGCCTCCCAGGGCCACAGTCCCCCTGGTTTTGACCCGCGAGAGTGGGGTGGAGGTGAACTTCGGGGGCAGGGGTGACCTCTGGCACAGGCCTGGGGCGGGCTCACAGCGGCCCCACTGGTGTCTCCCTGCCCGCCTCTGAGGTTGGGCCTGGGGAGAGCCCCATGGGCCCGGGGGTCTCCGTGGCTGATTGTCTCGCTGAGGTATGACAGCTCCACGGGCACCCTTCTCTGACTTCACCACAGGCGGTCCATGTGGGGGTCCAGGTTCGTTTGAACCTGGAAGAGGCTTGACCCCAGCGCTGCACTCGGCATCGACCACGTCCCGGCCTCGGCTGGCATGTTGGGATCCACCAGACAGCTTTCCCATGAGCCATTATTCTGAGAAGAATCAAGTCCAAGGGGGGTTGTCCTAGGACTTCGTGTGTCAGGATGCACCGAAACCAAGCAGGGAGGTGGCCCCCCTCCTCCCTGGGCCACTGGGCATGGGTGGGCCTTCCTGCCGTGCTCCGGAGGCCTCCAGGTCATGCCTGCCACTGACCGGGTGGCTGGTGTGTCCCTCGCAGCAGGCCCTGGTGTGCACGGCTGTGGCCTGGCCTGACGGGCAGGGCCGGGTGACGACTGCTTGGGTGGAGGCCGAGGACCAGAGAAGGGCTTGTTGCCCGGCTTCCGCAGAGCTGCCTGGGGGGCTCCGAGCTCCGGGGCATACACTCATGCTCTGAGTGCCCCTGTGTGAGGTGCAAGGCCTGGGAGGAGGCCAGGCCCAGGACAGGGAGGCAAACAGAAGCGGACATTTGACTCAGTGTACCATCTGAGCAACCGACAACTAGAGGGAGCTCTTGGCCTTCATACATGCCAGAGAACCAGATGGGTCTTCATGGTTTGTCATTGCCTCTGCCACTGGAGGCGGCAGGTACTGTGGCAGCCCCCAAGCCAGGGGCCAGTGGCCATACTGCTTTTAGATTCTGATTTTGCTGTGAAGGAAAACACGGATTCATAAAAGGGCACAAGATGCCTACGGCTCAGTGAGTCCTCCCGAGCGAGTACTCTGGAGCCCACCCCCAGGTCAACAAGTAGAGGTTACCCAGGTCCTAGGATACCCCCACGCTCCCCTCTCCTATAGCTGACCACTCGGCTTGTGTCCCCCCAAATTCATATACTGGAACCCAGTTCCCATGGTGAGGGTGTCAGCATTGGGACCTTGAGGTAATCAGATCATGAGAAAGGAGCCCTCAGATAGGATCAGCGTCCTAAGAAAAGGCCCCAGAAAGCTCCCTGGCCCGCAAGTGGGAGCACTCTGCAACAAGTCCATGTCTGCGTGCCAGGAAGCAGGCCCCCACCAGACCGAATCTGCGGGCGCAGTGATTGCTTCCGGCCTCTCGACTGGAGAAAAATGCCTGATGTTCCAGCCCCCCAGTCCGTCTGAACTATTAATGCCACGTCAACGGACCCTGACAGACCCACGTTCTTGATGAGGTCAGGCTGGATTTCCCTGTTTCAGGAAATTACAGCACCCGGTGGGTGTGTAGGGGTGGCGCATCTGCCTCTAGTCCCTTCACTGGTGAGATTCAGCCACGTTGTCTAGGGGACCCGTGCGCCTCTTCAGTGCCGGGTGCCGTCCCACCGAATGAAGGTACGACGTTTAGAGCTGTACCCGACGTTGGGTGAGAACACGGCTGGGAGTGCCGTGGTGAAGGGTCCTGTGTGTGCACGCTCGGCGCGCGCACTCGGCTCCGAGGGGTCACAGAGACAGTCCTACGGAATGCGCGTTCATTCCGACAGGATGGTCCCGACTGGTTTTGTGGAGGGCCTGCGTCTGCCGCCGGCCCGCAGGATGGCATGAGGGCCCTCAGTCTTCGGTCTGTAGTCATCGATGTTCTGGCTGCATGTTCGCGGTCTCCAGTTGTGGAGTTGCTGGACTCCCAGGTTTGGGGCGACTGAGCGGTGAGGAGCGAGCGCTCACTGAAGCACGGGTGCACGGTGTCGTGCTCCGTGTGTGCTGACGGCCGTGGGCGCCCGAATGGCTGTCCAACCGCCCGGCAGCCGCCCGCCGGCTTTTCTCACCACAGCTCACTTGTGCCTGTCCATGCATTTCACACACAAGGGATCGGACCATGAGGATGTGTTCGTGTGTCTGGCGTTTTCCACTCGGCTGTCTGTGTGCCTCGTCCAGCCGTGCCGTGCACTTGAGACGGACTCCGTTCGTTGCTGAAGGGCGTCCTCGGGCCTGGATGTCTCCTACGGTGAATCCTGGTTCCTGACCAATGCCCACTTGTTTCCTTATGTTCTGGCACCATTTCTCATACAGAAATATTCCTCCGTTACTTGGTTCGGTGCCTTTGTCAAAACTCAAGTGAGCGTACAGGTGTGGCTCTGTATAGTCTGCATCCTCTACCCCGTAGGTAGTTTTATCTAGTCTACACCCGCTGTCTTGATTACAGTAGCTTTATAATAAAGGTTGGAATCGGGTGGTATGCATCTTCCTCCTCTTTTTAAAGATTCATTACAGGCGTTTTGCATTTCCATATACATCTTAGAATCAGCTTCTTGTTTTTTATAAAAAACGACTGTTTTGACAGGGATCACCTCAAATATGTAGCTCACTTTGGGGAGAATCTACATCTTAGTATCGAGTCCTGTGAGCCTGTCTCGTCTGACCCGTTTATGTGGCCCATCTTGCACCTCTCTGTACACAGACCCTGCATGTCTCCACGAGGTTTATTCCTAGGTGTTTGATATTTTATGCTATTGTCACTAGTATGTCATTTCATCGTGCACTTGCTTTCATATGCTGACCTTACGTCCGGTGGCCCAGACCCCGGCGCATCGGCACACCGTGTCCCCCGTCAGACTGCAGTCTCGTGTCTCCTCCCTCGGGTGCTGTGACCTCTCCATGCACACTGGCCGGCTTGTCCAGCCCAGTGTGGAGCAGCAGGGGCAGAGGGGGATGCCCCTCTCTTCCAATCTCCACGGAACACATTCAGTCTTCCAGTTAAGTGTCACATGAGCTATGATGGAGTTTTATGGATGCTTTTATAGATTGCAGGGGGTCTATCCCAGCTTGCTAGGAGTTTTCTGTGAATGAGTATTGAAAGTTGTCAAGTGCTTTTCGTGCATCTCTTGAGATGATTGTAAAGGTTTGCTTCTTGACTGAGTTACTGTGGTGAACCTCGCTGATTTCCAAATGCTAAAATAACCTGCATTCCCGGGTGGACCCCACTGGCCATGAACACGGTCCGTCCTCTGCGCAGCTGGATTAGCTTTGCTGATGCTTGCCTAAGGACGTTTGTTTATACCCCTCTGAGGGACACTGGCCCGTGGTTCTGGTTGTCACATGTAGTCTGTCCCGTTTGGTATCACATTGGACTGAGATGAGCTGGAAGTGCCCCTTGCGAGGCTCTGCTGTGGTGTGTGTGGGCTTGGCCTTCTTCCTTAATGTGCAGCAGCCCTCGTGGGTGGACCACCTAGGCCGGAAGTGCTCCTCATGCTAGAGTTTTGTCAGTTTTTGAAACTAGATACAAGGCTGTTTGGATTTTCTAATACTTCTTGTGTCTTTTTTTTTTTTTAAGATTTTATTTTTTTATTTGACAGAGAGAGAGAGACATAGCAAGAGAGGGAACACAAGCAGGGGGAGAGGGAAAGGGAGAAGCAGGCTTCCCGCCAAGCAGGGAGCCTGATGCAGGGCTCAGTCCCAGGACCCCGGGATCATGACCTGAACCGAAGGCAGACGCTTAAGGACTGAGCCACCCAGGCGCCCCTGTTGTGTCTTTATATGTTTGTCAAGGAATTATATCTGAGTTGTTAAAACAATTGGTGTAAAGTTGTTCCCTTCTTAATGTCTGTCGGATCTGTGGTGATGCCCCCTTTTTGTTCCTGGTGTCGGTAACTGCTGTTCCCCTTTGCCCCCCAGTCAGTCTAGCTTAGGCTCTGTTGAGTTTTAGAACTTTTCCCCCAGAACCAGCTTCAGCTTCACTGATTTCCCTCTGTTGTTTGCTAGTTTTCTTTCATTGGCTTTTACTCTCTGTTTCCTTTCTTGTCTCATTTCTGTTGAATTTGCTGCCTCTCTGCCAGCTTCTCACCACAGAAGCTCAGGTCGCTGATAAAGAACACAGACAGATGGACTACACAGTCAACAAGCACGGTCTGCTCATGCCCTTTAGAGAAAACATGTTCTTAATACATACGGAACATTTTAAAAGCTGACTGGCCCAGGGCACAAAGCAAATTCCAGTAACTCAGCAGCAAGGTTAGATGGTACAGATCACATTCTTTAACCTTATCGCAACCAAGGAGGGACTCGGTAATGAAAAGACAATTAAAATAAGTATATTCAGGAACTTTAGGGGCACCTGGGTGGCTCAGTCCGTTAAGTGTCTCCCTTCAGCTCAGGTCATGATCCTGGGCTCCTCACTCAGTGGAGGGTCTGCTGCTCCCTCTGCTTCTCCCTCTGCCCCTCCCCCAGCTCGTGCTCTCTTTCACTCACTCTCTCTTTCAAATAAATGGAGTCTTTTTTTTAAAAAAAAGTATATTCAAGAACTTTAAAAATACACAGGAACCAAAGAAGAAATGGCATTAGAAGTTAGAAAATACTTTTAATTGAACGCTAGTAGAAACACTACACGCCAAACTTGGGGGC